ATATAATAAAATGAACCCACGTATCTCCAGGGTTCCAGGAAATGCACCCTAGGGATGCTGACTTGGACTCTGCCTTCTGAAGCGTTCAATTCTGCCTTTCCTAATTTCTCCTCAGCAATCGTTGGCATTCCTCTGCTTAATAGGCATAATTGCACGAATGTCAGAGGAAGCAGAAATACATGGGGGACAAATAACACAAGAATGTCCAATTCCTCAAGTGCTGTAACAGGCACATAAATACACAAAAACACAGAATTTAGTAGCGTCAAGATCTTATCATCTTTCGTCAGACATCAAATAAATGACGTATAATTGTGTTTGTGGCACCAACCTCAGACCCTGTCCTGTAGAATAGGCTTGGAGGATATTTATTAATTAGATGTGTCTTTCTACCTGGCTGTAGATCCCGTGTCCGGAAGTGGTCACAGCATTTCTCCTCTTTTCTACACAACTTTTCTCACACCCTTTGTGTTGCCCTCCAAAGGACACGGGTTCTAGACTACTTTCCATCCTGTAAACCTGTTTAGGCCTCCTTTCAATGATCCTGCACCCGTGAAAACCCTTCCTGTAATCCTCCCTTCAGATGCTGGAAAGTGGGTTGATCCTGGGTGCCTCAGGAGGGTGCATAGGACAGAAAAATGCCAACTCTTCCGACCTGAGTGCCGTAGTCTGAGTGTGCCTCCATTTATACAGTGAGGCTTATTTGTGGTGTGGTCGTGTTAAGATACAATACCTTTTGGAAGGGATTAAGTAACAAAGACAGAGCTCTGCTTTTAAGTGGAATTAGTCCTCTTTTCAAAGAAGTACCGGAAGCTGGGGCCCCTTCTTCCCCGTGAAGGCACAGAAAGGGGTTCTCTGCTATGAAAGAAGCGACTTTGCCAGACGCCGAATCTGCTGGCGTTCTCACCTTGGACTTACCAGATTCCAGGACTGTAAGAAATAAATCGGTATAATTCACAAATTTCTCAGTTTTAATATTTGCTATAGGGGCTGGAGAGATGGCTCAGCAGTTAAGAGCATTGGCTGTTCTTCCAGGGTACCCGGGTTCAATTTCCAGCACCACATGGCAGTTCACAATTGTCTGTAACTCCAGTTCCAGGGGATCTCACACCCTCACAGAGGCCTATACACAGGTGAAACACCAATGTACATAAAATAAAAATTAAAAAAAAAATTTACTATAGGAGTAAGAGCCCTAGACTGAGACAGTAAGAGCTTATTTTCTGTTGATCTATCTCTTTACACACAGACCCATTCTTTTACCTGAGTATTTACAGAGGGCCTCAAAACTGCTTAAGCATTATGGGTCCTGCCTGAGTAAGACAATGGTCTGCTCCTGTGGAACTTAACATTCGAGGTGGGAAACAGACTATTAAAAGGAAGTAACAATACAGTGTGCTTATAGGTAACAACTAGTACTATTGCTCTAAATAATGCTCAAGAGAAAGACCTGTGAGCAGAGTGCTTCCAAACTTTATTGTTTCCTAATTACACAAATATTGAATAGTTATTAGAACATTAAGAAACGCATAAAAGGAAAGACTGCTTATAATCCCACCCAGAGATGATATCTATTATCATCTTGTGTTCAGAATATCTTTCCAGCCTCTACTTCTATACACAAGATTACAAACATATAAACAACATTGTATAATACCTCTACCACAGTGAACATTTTCCTAGCACTGCATTTTTTTTTATTGTGCTTAAATATATAAAACAAAGTTACCATTTTAACCATCTTTTAAGTTCAGGAACTATATGTGGATTCACACTACTGTATAATCATCACTCACATCCACCCCCAGAATGCATTCATCTCCCCAGAATAACATCGTGTTCCCCCATTAAACACTAACTCCACACTTCCTTCCCCTCTACCCACACAGTCTCTGCCAACCACCCTTCTGCTTTCTGTCTCTGTTGTCTTGACTAGATCAAATAGTTAGAAGTTTGGAAAGCTTTTGATTTGTATTACTAGTTTGCTCTGAACAGTATAGTTTATACTCTTAGTTACTACCCATACATTGCTTTAAAAAATATATTCTAAGGGGTGGCTACTACTTGTTCTAATATGTATAAGATCTTGAATTTGATTCTCAGCACTCCCCTCTCCCCCCAAAAAACCCCACTCACCCACCCACCCAACCAGTCAACCATCCAAACATCCAACCAAAACAAAACAAAAAGGAAAGAAGGAAACCACTACCACCTTCACCATCATCACCACCACCACCACCACCAGCAAACAACAACAACAATAATAACAACTTCATATATCAGCAGCGGGGAGGCAAGCTAATCTCTGTGAGTTTGAGGCTGGCCTGGTCTACATAGTGAAACCTGTGTTAAAAAAATATTTAAAAATTACTTTTATGCCAGGAGGTGGTGGCACACGTCTTTAATCCCAGCACTTGGGAAGCTGAGGCAGGCAGCCAGCCTGGTCTACAAAGCGAATTCTAGGACAGCCAGAGCTACACAGAGAAACCCTGTGTACCGAAATAGAAAAATACAAAATATATAAAGCAGGACAAAACCCAAACAGAACAGAAACCAAAAACACAAAACAGAACAGAACAAAACAAAAATAGAACCAAAAAAATTTTTTTAGGGTGTTTCACATACTGCTGAAAGTAATGGTAATTTTTTTGAAATTTTCTCTGAAAACGCAGGTCTTCTGGAGACATTCTCCATGTGGATGTGAGCTTGGATGTTAGTATACAATAATAGGTTTACCCTGTGTTTTATTAGGATAGGAACATTCTATCTGAGTCCAGAAATCTTTTCCTCTAGGTCTCCCTCTCCCAGGGACATTAGGACCAATGCAGCCAGGCAAACGGGCATCTTGGAGTCGCATCAAGCCCCTGAGCAAACTGTTCATCCCTCTCATGTGATCAGAATAAGACAATGGTTCACCTTCTCTATAGCATCTATTTCCCGTCTCGGTTTCTGAATGCTTCCTCCTCTCTGTTCTCATTCATTTTTGCCTTGTTTAAACTTGTTTTTCTTTGTCTCCATGTCTGTGTCTGTGTACCATGTGCATGTCTGGTGCCAGTGGAGACCAGAAGAAAGGATCAGATCTCCTGGGACTGGAGTTACAGATAGCTGTGAAGCATCACGTGGATGCTGGGAATCAAACCAGAGTCCCTGAAAGAGTAGCCATTGAGCTGAACCTCTGGGCCATCTCTCCATTCCCTCCCTCATAATTCTTACCCCAGCTCCTAGCCCTGATGCCGGCCCAGATCTCAGGTGTTAAGGAATTGTTAGAAAGTGTGAAAGGGCAAGGAAGCAGGCATTTCCTGCTAGTACAGAGAAATAAGATTATTAAGGAAGCAGAGACGCAGTCACATTTGTCTTCAAATATCTGGAAAACAGAAACAATTAGAAAAGAGAGAAAGGGAAAGGGAAAAGCATGTCGCAGACAGTATGGTCTTTTTCTCTCCTCCATAAAAATGCCCTCCCCATGAAGGCTAGCAGGCTGACCAACCCAGCTACCACCCGGGCCCAGAGCCAGGGCTATGAGCGGGCCCGACCCCAACACCCACCAAATCTATGAACTGTTGGAGCATGTGAAGGAGACAAACCTACAGATCCAAAATGGCAGAGTCTCCATGACACAGGACAACAGCAGGATGTCCAAGAGGAGCCCCAATGACAGCTCATTATCGTGGTATAGCAGAAACCAGGGGCCTTGACTCATGGCAATGAACACTTTCAAGTATAGATGAATGGACTGAAGGGTAAACTGTGTATCTCAACAGGCCACACTACAGCTTCTACGATAAGATTCTTCTTCCTTTTTTTTTTTAATTTCTGTTTTTGTTTTGTTTTGTTTCTTTGTATTGTTTGATTTTTGGTTTTACTTTTAAATTTGGCTTTGATTTGAGGAGGAGGTTGCAAGGGTAGAGGGCAGATTCAGAGAGGCAGAGAGATGAGTGGGATCAGAATGTATGATGTGAAATCCACAAAGAATCAATAAAAGTTTGAAAAAAAATTAGAGAAAAATGCCCTCCCCACAATTTTAAAAACAAAATTAAACAAAAGACCTCAGTTTGCCCTAAATCAAGAAACAGATAAACCAGGAATCAAGTCATTAGTAAATAAAGTCCACCTCCCCTGAATTAACTATCTACATAATGACAGAGGAACCAATCTTCACTCTACTTGGGATTCCTCATCATACAGGTCTAGGTGGGAACCTGCCTGGAGGTGAAGGATGAACAGATGTAACAGGGTAATCCCAGGGGAGGGCTGGTGGGAAAGGCTTGGCTTTCATCCTGAAGAACAGAACTTGATATTTTGAGCTTCAAGAAAATTTCAGAGGCCATGTATCCTAGTCATTGTTCTATGGCTGTGAAGAGACACCATGACCAAGACAACTTATAAAAGAAAGCATTTAATTGGGGGCTTACACCTCCCAATCCTTCCCAAACAGTTCCACCAACTAGAGACCAGGCATTCAAGTATATGAGCCTATCAGGGGGGGGTCGTTCTCATTCAAACCACCATACCACATTGGGTTCATCATCACGGTACATAGTAACTCCAAAGTGTGGGACCTCTAGCCCTTTGCTCACTGCCCTGCCCTCTCCCAGTATTTAGCACCCCACATTTGTAACTCATATTTGAGAATGAAACCAGCCATGCTAAGCCAACAGCACAGGATCATCGTACTGTGGGTATCCAGAGGCAGCTAAGGAGGTAACGGCTCGCAGTGAAGGGCGTCAGTTTCACCGGGTTCTCTGCGGGAAAATGGAGAGCTGTCCGAGACTGGGTGACGAGTGCTCCCTTTGGAGGTCTTGGCTTAAGATTCATTTTCTCTAGCTGATAGCAACAGGCTGCACATGAGGGCTTATCTGCCCTACCCTACTCCATGAGGGGCAGGGTGGGAATCTTTGAGCACAGAGAAAAGGCAGGACTTTGGGGTATCAAGTAAGGGAGCAGGGATTATAACCCAGAAGGACTGACATCACACTCCTTTTCTGTTCTCCCTTTCTAGAGCAGTGACCCTGCAAGTTCAACCCGCTGTCTTGAGAACTTTGATGCCGTGAGCCGTTGCCTCCTAGCTGTCCCTGCAGCCCCAAAGTAGGCTAATCCTGTGCCTGTTGACTAAGCTTAGCGGGTTTCACTTTGAAATATGAGTTGCAAATGAAGGGTGCCAAGTACTGGGAGAGCTCAGGGCAGTGAGCAAGGGGCTAGCAATGGACTTCAGTGAGATGTTCAAGGCAGTTCTTCAGAAACAAATCTCTGTGTTTTATTGTGGATTAAATCCTGGATCTGGGCATGCAAAGCACATGTTCAGCCACTGAGGCTCACGGACAGCCCCCCCGAGCTCCTATTTGGAGCTATCAGGGCACTTGGTTATCCACTCCTTGAGTTTCTGGGTTCTCTCTGAGTTTGGAGCCACCCACATGTCTGGGACATAGTTGGCAGGTGTCTTAGTTACTTTTCTGTTGCTGGGAAGAAACGCCACGAGTAAGGAAACTTATAGAAGAAAGCATTTATTTGGGGGCTTGCTTACAGTTTCAGAAGGTGAGCCCATGACCATAGCAGGCAGCCAAGGATGGCACTGAGCAGTAGCTGAGAGCTTACATTGGATCTGCAAGTTGGAGGCAGAGAGTGAGAGACTAGATTTGGTGTAAGCTTTTGAAACCTCAAAGCCCACCCCCAGTGACAAACCTCCTCCAGCAAGGCCACACCTCCTTACCCTTCCAAAGAGGTCCACCAACTAGGGACCAAGCATTCAAATACATGAGCCTATGAGGGCAGTTCTCATTCAAACCATCAGTAAATATTTACGAATTTTGGTCTTAACTCTCATATCTTCAAGTGACTCTGGAGTTCTTAAAGCTTCATGGTCATTCATGGCTAGAAAAGGGCAAAAAAGATAGAGAACCTAATTCACAGGATCTGGAATCTTAAAGTGAGCCAGAATTCTAGGATAATGAGCCCTTGGGAAATTGCTCAGGTACTTGGCTGTTCAACCCAGCATTTGGCCTGTTGGTGCTGTGCATATGTATTTTTGTGCAAAGGAAAAGAATAAGTGCACCACAGATCCTCAGTGTGGTTCTGATGGACTCGAGGTCTGGAAATGTGGCTGTGAGCACGAGAGTGACTCCTCAGTCTGAGTGTGACAGGCTGCGCCCCAACCTTTTCCATTGTGAAGGGACAAGATGGGGTGTCCAGCTATCAAACAGTGGCCAGAAGTTTGTTAATTAGTAGATTCTGTTATCATCATCTTCCTCAGCATAAACTCTAACATCCATAAGCCAAATGTTACTGAGTATCGTGATACCCATGCACCTTCTGAGGTGTACAGGCATGTGAATCTTAAGGGCGGTTCACATGTCCACAGAGGGTAAGAGTGGAAACCCTGTCTGGTGACTCTTCGGCTCTACCTCCAAGGGAGAAAATTTTAGGAGACAAATCTTAGGAAAATGTTAAAAGCCAGATGTGACAGAGTAAGAGGACATTTAGTCCTCAGTTGGAATTGGACCTGGCTTTCAAATGTCAGACTCCTTCCTCATGTGTGAGCTCTCTCTAAAACACCTTCACAAGGTTTTGGAGATCTGCAGCCAAGGATATTTTAGTGTTTATTTTTCCAAATCTTGACTAAAGAGAAGGAAAAATAGCCTTAGACAGACATTCTCAACTATTATAAAAGGGCTTGTTAGAAACAGAATATTGGAGCATGTCCCCAGAAGTTTTGTCTCAGGAATTTGCATGTCTAAGGTCACAGGTAACACCCATGCTACTGGTTCAGGGGCCACACTTTGAGACTTAGATGTAAGGGACGCCTGCCTATCCAGTGATTTGAAAATGAGGTCTCCAGTTAGATTGTGTGTCACATAGCAAGTCCTTATTTTGGAACAGATGGTTCTTAGAAAATCTTAAAACCATTGGGGCTTTTTTGTTTATAGGACCGAATGGGTGTAGTGGGGATGTGAGAATAGTGGGTCTTCATTCTTCAACATCTTACATAGACAGAAATTAGTGATATGGTTTTTTAGAGACATATGCTAAGAGGCCTCTAGAATTCATTAAACATGAATTGCATCCAGAGAAAGACCTTACTTTGATTAATAGAGAGCTTGTGGCCAAAGAAGATGCAAGCCAGTTAGTGCATCTCCCGGAATGATAGGCTTCTTCATTTCCTGCTGCTGTTCCTCTCAGAAACTCTGAGCCTTGCCTAGTAGGATAAATACATGTCCCTAGTCCCTTTTAATGATGTATCAGTGAGCTGTACATATGAGAGCTGTGCATTTTGTGGGTGTCTGAACCATAGCAGGGTCTTTTAATTTATTATGATTTATTCTTGAAAATTACGTCGACTCTGCTGTGGTAGCATGAATTCTTAGGAGGGAAAGAAGACAGCATGGGGTGAGGGTGCTTGCAAATGTGAGGACTGTAACCGCAGCTCTTCGTTGGGTCTCAGGTAGATGGAGAACTTTGTAGGGGGCTCTTGAAGCTATCCCTTGACACACTGAGGGAACAGGTCTATGTAAAGGTAGTGGGTGAAGAACACGGTCACCACAGACTCGATGGACAGTTCTGGGACTTGACTAGCCCTTCAGTGTTAAATTGAAACAGTGTCTAGGCATTGTCCAATATCTGCTCTCTGTGAAGATGGAACAATTGCATGAGTAAGATGACATCTCAGACAGGGCAATATCTGTGACAGGAACTTAGTTGTGAATCACCAGCTGCAAACATTCCAGCACTGGAGAGAACTAGTATATCCACCCTAAGGGGCTCTCTTAGCATCCATACTGTTGCTGTGATAAGACACACTGAAGAGCAGCATGAGGAGGAGAGGTTTTATTGGCCATACAGGTGCAAGTTACAGTCCATCATTTTGGAGAGGTCAGGCAGCTAGTCACATCGCATCTACAGTCAAGGGCAGAAAGAGAATAAACACTTGCTAGCTTACTCTACCCTTATATAGATCAGGGCCTGGCCCATGAAATGGCACCACACACAACAGGCTTGGTCTTCCTGTATCAATTAACAACCAAAACAGACCCCCACAGACATTCCCCCAGACCAACCTGATCATCACATGATTGATACTCTCTTCCCAGGTGACTGTAGGTTGTGTCAAGTTGTGGATTAGTCTCTGGCTTCTGTAGGAAGATGAGGGTTGTGCCTTGTATCCATGTCACAGACATGCTGAAATTACATTAGACCCTGAATGCATTGCTGTTCCAGCGTAGCCTGCTAGGTGCCATGGGGTACCTGAAGGAAATCAGGTACATGATCTATCTTTAAAAAGACTTGTATTGTCTATTATGATTGGACAGTAGGCAGAATTTGTCCCATTACACACACACACACACACACACACACACACACACACACACACACACACACCCAGTTATTGGGCATTGTACAAAGGTTAGATCCAGGTCTTAAGGTAGCCATGAAAATAAGAAAATGTCATTTATTGAGACACTGTTCAAAGCACTATTAACTTCTACTTTATATATTTAAGGGTTTGAAGCACACTATTTTAGTCACTGTTCTATTGCTGTGAAGAGACGCCATGACCAAAGCAATTCTTATGAAAAAAAGCATTTAATTGAGGATTTGCTTACACTTTCAGAGGCTTAATCCATTATCATCATGGCGGCAGCATGCAAGCAGGTGTGGTCCTGGAGAAGTAGCTGAGAGCTACATCCTGATCCACAGGCAGAGAGAGAGGGAGACTCTGGGTTCGGCATGGGTTTTTGAACCCTCAAAGCCCACCCCTAGGGACACACTTCCTCCAACCAAGCCACCTCTCCTAATCCTTCTAATCCTTTCAAATAGTGCCACTCCCTGGTGACTGAGAATTGAAATCTATGAGCCATGAGGCCATGCTCACTTAAACCACACACAGAGAGATTTAGAAACTTGTTCAAGTCCACAGATATTGATAAAGGCCACTGGAGTGTGAACTCTGTCTGAATGGACATCTACTTAACCAGCCTTCCTCATTCCTCATTATCATGGGAGCAAGATGAGAGACATTAAGCTCCTCACTTGGGTGCCTTGTAGCATTTTCTATAATTTTATATTTCTGTTTTACTCCTGAATCCTTATGAGCCTTACACTGTAGCATCATGTATGTGATATAGCTTGATGAAAGTTAGTTGGGCCAGGCGGTGGTGGCGCACGCCTTTAATCTCAGCACTTGGGAGGCTGAGGCAGGTGGATCTCTGCGAGTTCGAGGCCAGCCTGGGCTACAGACTGAGTTCCAGGAAAGACGCAAAGCTACACAGAGAAACCCTGTCTCGAAAAACCAAAAGAAAAAAAAAAAAGAAAAGAAAGTTAGTTGATACTAAAGCCCTCCTCCTCCCAAAAATGGTTTCCTGCTCTACCATTCCACACAGAAGAAACAGAATGGAAGTGGAGAGATGGCTCGGTGACTAAGAGCACTTGTTTCTCTTGTAGAGGACCTGGGTTTGGTTCCCAGCACCCACAAGGTGGCTCACAACCATCCAACTCCAGTTCCAAGGAATCCAACCCTCTCTTCTGACCTTGTGAGCTAAATTTGACCTCCTGCCTGAGTTTTATCTTGCCACATTCTTAGCCCAGAGTGCTTTGGATACTTTTAACTAGTTGAAAAGAAATCAGAAAAATATTTCTGTGCTGTGTAGAAATTAAATTTAAGTAAGAGTGTCCATGAGTGCTGTTGGTATTAAAATGATGCGTGATGTTTGTGCCTTTCTACTCTTTATATGTTGCTTATGGCTGTTCTTAAAGTCATAGTAGCAGAATTGTGACAGACTGTCTGGCTTGAAAAGCCTAACATATTTACTTTCTAGACTTTTCCAGAAAATGTTTGTAGACTGCTGCCCTTGAATGCTATTCAGCTAAGGCTCTGTTGGAAGTACTTGGAAGAGAGTTGAAAACTTGTAGTCCCATAATTGAGAAACAGAGGCAGGAGCATTAGGAATTCAAGTTCAACCTCAGCTATAGTGAGTTTGAGAGCAGCCTTGGTAGCATAAGATCCTGTCTCAAAAGCAAAGAACCAAACAAAAACCTCACAGGCCTGCAGACCTATCCTGCACTAATCTAATCAGAATGCCTGGAGGTGAGATTCGGTCTGCAGTGCGTGCCAACACTTTCTGGTGTTTCTGCTCTGTGTAGCCACAGTCAAGGAATAGGGCTTAATGCCTGCAAGCCTTTGAATGGGCAGATGGAGGCCTGTCTGCCCCCAGGCTGCTAGGTAAAAGAAAGTGCAGGTCACCATCACCACCTGTGTGTGGAAGGGTCATAAGACCTAAAATAAAATCCCTCTCCCAGAGCAGGCTGGGAAGAGCTAAAGGGAGAATCATGCCAGATATCCATCCTAGCAGGTTTTCTCCACAATGGACTATCATTAAATGTAAAGGCAGTACAGCCCTCCCTACCCTAGCCTCTAGGTACCCTAATTCCTTCATATCCATAAATACAGCCATCTGGTCAAAGCTGTAGAGCAGAACCAGTCATCCTGTGCAGTGTGGCCAAGAGAAAGTTTCATCCGCTGTTCAATCCTGGCCGTGAACTGTGCTTTCACAGCTGGTTAAGCTGCAGGTTGCTAGGTCCCAGCTCAGACGTGCAAAGTTAATATCTCTAGGAACGGCTCCAGACATCTGCACTTGAACCAGCTGCTAGTGGGCTAAGATCATCTCAGCTCAGTCACACTTACCTGAATAGCTATGATATGAATTCTTGGCAGATGCGCAGGTCAGGGCTATTCTCCCACTGTTTACCATTGTGGACTTAAACAGCCAGGCCAGTTAGCAACTCCTCTCAGGATTACGTATGCACACGTTGAAACGGTGGAGGCTCCCACACGATGTCTGTGGCAGATATGCCAACCTTGCTTTTAGGAGAGCTCATGCTTTAAAAAGGAAGACGTAACAGAAGCTACCCATCTATTCCATCAGTTGCTGTCTCTAAATATCACAGACATCTCTATGGCAAACTGTCCATAGCAAGATTAACCGGGGCTAAATCTTCCTTCTTTGAAGATAGGCCTAATTTTTAGAAGTGTATGCTCACCGTTTAAATGAATTGGGGTAAATAAAGTGGCTGATTGAATTAGCTGACTTTGCCTTTTAAAATTAAGCTCTTGCCTCCCTCCGTTTCTGCAGAGCTAGGGATCAAATCAGTGCTCCTACGTGCAAGGCCAGAACTGCCACACCCGGAGACCAGGAAACATGATGTCAGCAGTCACACAGCAAGTCAGTGCAGCCGCTAAATCCAAAAAGACGAAGATTCATAATATTTTAAATATTTTATGCAAAGCAGAGTTGTCTTAAGGAGGCCCAGCATATCCCAAAGTAAAGGAAAACTTTTGGATTGACAATTTTGTTGTTGTTGTTGCTTGAACCAACTCCATTTCTTTATTGCCATTTTCACAAAGTTTAACCATTTGCAAACCCTGTGAGCCATCGGTTTGTGGGTGTAGGTGTTTAAATATTGAGCCACGTGAATCTCTTACAAGAAATCATGGTGAAGGGGTGCCAGACATCATCCTGTCGGTTAGTTTGAGAGACGTGGGGAAATGCGCTACTTAGGAGAGAATGGGTTTTCCACTGGGTTCTAGTGTGATTCATGAGACTATATTTGCATCCAAGCCCAAAGAGAACACCAGGGTAGACAGAGCAACCCACGGACAATGAGCTGGGTTCGGTTGCAAATGCTCTTTGGAATCAGATTTTAAGCATAATTCAATTCAAGTGGACAGAGTAGGGCGATAAGTCCTTTCGAGGGTAAATGCTGGGCACACTGAAAGGCTTTATTTACTGCTCTGGGACCAGGGAGGCCAGCTTCTAAAGTGAAAGGATATATTTTAAGAGCTGGGTGTACCTTCCTGGGGTGCTGGTGATGCCCCCTTGATAAAGGCACAAAGGGAGTGTGAAGCCTTCCACTGTTCCCCGGTCTGCGGGCCCTGACTGCCTTCATTGTGTTCCCAGGGCCGTGAAGGCAGGCTCCGTTCTAAAGTGTCCTGTCTGTGGGCTTTCACAGCCTGTCTTTCATTTCACCACGCTGAACAAAACTGAACACATGGGTCGCCAAGTCTTGATGTTCTGTAGGAAAAGATTTCACGTTTCCCTGGGGATGATCCCAACAGCTTAAGGAGGCATGGATGTGGAGGGAGTGCCTCTGGTTGTCACACGTGAAGGCAATCACAGGCTGCAGGGGGCATGGCCAGCCATTGTTTCAGGATTCCTGGGTAGATCAGAAGTCAGGGAATGCCCCTGGGGACTACAGGCAATTTTATTTGACTTGACTATTTTTGACAATAACCTGGAAAGGCTCTTGCTATGACTGAAATTTGAGTCTCATGTCTGTTGGCCTAGACAAAACTGAGGCGGAGGGCGATATAATCTGTCTCTCTCTACCGGGGTGGTAAAGATCCTTGAATGATTCCCACTGGGTCCTTTACCTGGGGTCCATCCGTTCCCACCCCCACCCCACCACCCCATACTTACTTTCTGGCTTTCCTATTTACCGCAGAACTGCATTTTCACTAGGCAAAGGGTTTGCTCTATGGCATTTCCCCCATGAAAAGTGCTGCAGTGTCTGGACCGTGCTACTGTCTTACAAGCCTGAAGTTGTTGTGTGTGTGTGTGTGTGTGTGTGGCGGGGGTGGGGGTGGGGGCGGGGGAGTGTCGGGAGGGGGGGGCGGAGGGGGGGATGGGGGATGGGGGACAGGACTGCTAGGCAACATGGCTCCCAGAGGAGGACAACTGTTTAAGGGCTAAAGACATAGGAAAAAATAAAATCTAACTTAAGTCCTGCAGTGGGCAGAGTCTGTAAAGAAAGATGGCTTTGTTGGGATGATTAGTTTGGACTTTGTGGAGATAGGCAAAATTTCTTTTTCTGTCTTCTGGCGTGGGCGGAGTTTTGCAGTCTCAACAGTAAAGCTTCAGCCGCATTCTCATCCCCTTACATCAGCCCACACTCCCCTTCCCTCTCACGTGGAGAATCAATGAACAAAGTGGCCACTGTTGGTGCTGTGGTCAGAGGCAGGCTCTCTCTCTCTCTCTCTCTCTCTCTCTCTCTCTCTCTCTCTGTGTGTGTGTGTGTGTGTGTGTGTGTGTGTGTGTGTCCCAGCCCCAGCTCCTAAAGGCAACTGCCGGGTGGGCAGGCAGAAGACAGCCTGGCACTCTGGGCCCTGGGAGAGATCCTCTCCTGTCCCCCACTGCCTTTCTAGTCAACGCCTTGGGCTTGGGGTGTGGCTGAGGCTCCCAAAGTCACTGAGAGTCACACTCATCCTTGGCAATGTTACAGTTAATTTTTTGGTCTCCGTCTCAGGGACAGAAAAGATCTTTGTGGAAAAGAAAAAAAAAAGCAACAAAATGCCCCAAATGCGGGGTCTTTTGTCTCCCATGACTGGGATGCTGGGTTAGTTAGCCCAGATATCAAGCAAAGAAAGCAGAAATGTGAAACGTTATTTGGAAGCAATGTCTAGAATGTTTTCTGGGAGGCCAGGGTGGGAAACTGGTCTTTTAAATTTGAATAAAGTTTGTACAATAGGTCTGCTTTGGGAGAGAGACAGAGACAGAGACAGAGACAGAGACAGAGACAGAGAGTCACTATATAGCCCAGGCTGGCTTTGAACTTTCAGCAGTTCTCCTGTCTCTGCCTCATGAGAGCTGAAACTGTAGGTATGTGCCATCACATACATCCAAAAATACGTATTTGTGAAAGCCAAGTTCACAGACACAAAGGCACAGGCTCTCTTCATTCTTTTGAGGATGGCCATAGTCAGAGACCTTCACACTCTCAGAAGTCACAGGAACCTCACCTGGCCTAGGCTGTGTGAATGTACCTTGCACGAATGTTCTTGCCCAGGCTGGGAGAAAGCTAGCCCACCAAGAGCACCTGTACTGGGTAGACCGCTGCAGCCATTTTTTCTCTTAGCAGCTTATCTGAGCCTCACTGCAGTAAGGGGCTGTCCAGAGTGTAGACCCATCTCTCTGTTGGGGGCATTTGTCAGCAAAGAGCAACCAGCACACATTGCTCTAGTCCCAGAGCTGGAAGCTCCTTCTCTTTCTTCCCTGCCAAGTGTGGCATCATTCGCTGCCTTATCAGAAAACGGTAAAATTTGGATTTGTTCAAGTGTCGATTCCTCTTTACAAAATGGAGTCAAATACTTGCCTTGAAATTGTGTTGGTGAGACCGGAGTTGAAGCACTCAGAGGCCAGATCAGAGAGTGGCCAACAAAGCAACCCTAGCCAAGGGGGGCAATTCATTAATTCCAGCATGCTGGAGAGAGGAATTCAGGGCTAGCCTGAGCTATACCATGAAAGCTTGTCTCAAAAAAACAACAGAACCCAAACGAAACAAGTAACAACCACCAAAACTATTTTTAAAAGATTGTTTATCCAACCAACTTCAAATGGAAGTAAAACATTGTTTATATTGCTTATATCTAAATACAATAGAATCTGAAGCAAGAAATAATCCAGAGATGGCTCAACTGGTGACAAGCTCTTACTGGGGTGCTGCAGTGGTCTACCCAGTACAGGCGCTCTTGGTGGGCTAGCTTTCTCCCACCCTTGGCAAGAATATTCGTGCAAGGTACATTCACATAGCCTAGGCCAACTGAGGTTCCTGTAGTTTCTGAGGGTGTGAAGGTTTCTGACTGTAGCCATCCTCAAAAGAATGAGGAAAGCCTTTTTCAGAAGATCTAGGTTTAATTCCCAGCACCCACATGGTGGCTCACAATGCCTGTAACTCCAGTTCCAGAGGATCTGATGTCTTTTTGCTTCTGAGCTCTGTGAACTTCTGCATATACATGGTACACACACACACACACACACACACACACACACACACACACACACACACACCCATAAAAATTAAGATACATAATAAACATTTAAAAGTAAGAGAAATAATAAACCCTAAGTCACAAATGCCAATAAATAACCCAAGTTAGTGTTTGTAAGCTTGTTTGGATTTTGGAGACAATGTTGCTACGTAGCCCAGGCTGGCTGCCAATTCCCAGCCTCTGTCTCAGTGATCAAGTGCTGGGCTCCCAGGCTGGCAGCACAGTCACATAACTTCATAAGCACCTTCTGTAATGTTGTTTGTACAGGATGAAGGTAACCAGCCTGTCACATTTGAACATCTACCCTTTCCCCACTGCTTTATGTGATTCTCCCCCTAGTTCCTCTGTAGCTCGAATACCTAACATCCCAGACCGCAGTATCTAGCTTTTACATTTTATCTATCACTTGGTTGTGGGTCAGTATTAATTAAAGAGTTTCTGTTACATACACAGTATTCAACTATTTCAATCACTTTCTCTCCCATCAAACTCTTGGCAAACTTTGTATTTGTTATTTTAAAATGTTTTACACTTTCATTGATTTCTTTTGGGGTATGTGTGTGAGGGCGTGCGTGCTCTGGTGTACTTGTGGAAGTCAGAGGGCAGCTTGTAGGGGTGGATCCTCTCCTTCCACCATGTGGAGGTCAGAGGGCAGCTTGTAGGGGTGGATTCTCTCCTTCCACCATGTGGGTCCCAGGGATGAAACTCAGGCCGCAGTAAATAACTTTACTAACGGAGTCAACTTACAGGCCCAATATTTGTCAAATTTTACCAAATTACCCCTTAGAATAATTTGGTAGGTTCCTAACAACAGATAAATATGTTTGAACTAGAATTTCCCATTTTTCCTAAAAACCAATTTTGTATTTTCTTTTTTTCCCTAATTTAAATGTGCATGAGATATCTTGTAGTTTTTTTTTTAATTTTCAATTTTAAAAGCACGATGAATATGAACATGTTCCCCTTTTGTTTTCTTTTGTCATTTGACACAAAGACTTGCTTGTAGCTCAGGCTGGTGTAGAACGGAAGCTCTTCCAGGCTAAGTCTCCTGAGTGCTAGGATATGAAGCTACCATACCCAGCTTTGTTTTCTAAGACTAAGCTTTTCTATTGTTGTGTAAGTGGTTTAATTCAGGGGATGCACACTATGGCCTGGCCAGCCCCTATTCCTAAAAATAAAGTTGTATTAGCACACAGCTGTGTTCACTTGTTTATATATTGTCTTGGGCTGCTTTTTGTTGGAACTAAACCCTAACACAGTTGCTATCTGGCCTCTAACGGTAAT